CCCCTGGTGGACATTAGAGAGAATGCAGGTTTAACACATGAAGCTTTGACGTCACTTTAAAGAACCAGAGGTTGACTCCTGGTGGTTAACATCGTGTGCTGTTATTTGTTTTAACTTATTGGATGTGATGGACACTAGAGGGAAAAAGAGATGCACTGATGTATAAGTATTGGTAACGTCTATCCTTTCTCTAAACAATTCAGATGTAGCAGCCAGTAGCGGCTGAAGTTTAGGACTTATAGTCACTACATTTAAGTCCTAAACGGCTTCTTTCCCTCAATCAGCAGCACCTGAGACTAACGGCGTCAACTGAAGTTGGTGCTAGAAGTGCTTGAAAGGCGTTTTACACATAAACGCAAAGCTGCTAATGGCTTCTGGTAGAAGACAGAGCATCAAACTATATTTAACGGAGCCGTAAACATGACGGATAAACATCGGTATGATTATATATAACGCGTGGATCCTTGTACGTGAGAGTACGTACATGGTAGTTAAGCGCTGTCGGTCTACAGAGATGGTCTGACAGGTGGAGTGAAGCTCCACTCTGGCCGTGGACTCTGTTGCGTCCTTCACCACACCAATGTACCCTGGGAGATGTAGTCAGATTCATCAGCATCACTTACGCACACAAGAAACAAGATGACGGACTGCACAACAGTCACAACTGTGTCACTGTTTTACCTTTGTAGGGACCCTGTGAGATTCGGACCGTCTGACCAATCAGCTCGTTGTCTCTTCGTCCTCTGCCCCGCCCCATCCCCCCTCCTCCGACTCCTCCTCCTGCTCCACCTCCTCCTCCTCCTCCTCTCTGTGGAGAACCTGCAGGATGACAAAAACATCAACACAAAGTCAGTGTTTGATTTATCTTCTTAATGTGGGAGGAACTCACGAGCTAAACTGGAAGTTAAGTGGACACAAAGGTGTTCCATATTTATCTTCATGTTTAATCATCTGATGAGTGAAACACTAACAGTAGCTGTCTTTAACAATCAATCTGCTGTTTCTCTTTTAATAAATAAAACATTTGGATAATAAAACATCCTATTATCAGACGATAGTTTATGGAAGCTGAAGTATCTCGTGTGTCTCTAACAATCCTAAAGAAAAGATGACTCAGCGTCTTCACGTCTTCATGGTTATAAACTGAGCTGTAAAAGTCTCAGAGATTTGTCTTCCCCTGGTTTTTGGCGGAGAACTTTATTAAAAACTTAAACACACAACTGGCCGAACAAAATCCCTCGTGGCAATGACACGACAACACAACATCACACCGAGCAGAGCAATACATCAAAGAACGCCTGTTTTGATTGGCTCAGAGCAAAGCTACACAGACAGTCACGCATCTCTAGATGTGGGGATAAGTAGGAATGCAGGTTATCGTTCGACTGAATGATAATACTTTGTTCTGGTTGAGTATAAACAGAGCTGAAGTGTTTCCCATCTTTGCCCAGCATGATGGATTATTAAGATAAGACTTCAGAAGCCTCCTGTGAGGATGTAAATCACATTAAATGAGTCAGATTCACCGGTGGAAGCGTCTAATGTCCCTGTGAGCAGCTTTAAAGAACAGTTTTATTGCTGCGGTGCGTTCAGTTTGTGACACTCACTTCCTCCTCCGTGGTGCATCGGGCTGGTGATTCGAGGGCTCATTGGAGCGAATCCTCCCACTGTGAAGTTGGTCACGTCTCTGGGCTGAAAGAGACAAACAGAGCTCAGAGTCACAGAGAGAAAAGGCCGGTGGGCTTTTATTTTGAAATATGGAAGGAAAGTTGTCATTTTGAGAGTTCATGGTTCAAGTGATAACAAATGCTGCCGATATGTCAACACTGCCCCGTTCATCACAGCCAGAAGCTGTAAAGAGCGTCATTATCGTCAGATTCTTATCTTTCTGACGGTCCTTGAACACATCATGTGTGACGAACTCTTCCATCAGAAAAAGCATCAAAACTAAAACCTTAAAACTGATATTTCATCCAGAAACATTATTTCAGTGTTTCCAATTTTTACAACAAATTAAAATAAATTCTGCTCGCATTGTTTTCTTTTTAATGATTGATGTCGTCATAACGGTGTTGTTCTGCACTAAAGACATGTTCTAGTTCTACTTCTAGTCATGATGGTTCTGGTTCCATAGAGGAGCAGGGCTTTTATTTTGAAGAGAAAAACGAGATCACAGAGAAAAATGTGACAAAAAACAGCAGAAGCTGCTTTGAGTTCATGGCTTCATGACCACAGATGTCATATCAAACACCATGTGAAACGATGTAATCCTCATTGTGAGTGAAACAAACTCTACTCCGTCTCCCTGTGAATGAATGATGTGAGAATCTGTCACGCTGACCTTGGATCCACCGGCCAACACCAGGTGTCTGGTCTTGCAGACGAACATTCCTCCGTTCTCCACCAGCTTCTTACAGTGGAGGAAGGCGAAGCCTCGGAACAAGTGACGGATCTCTCCTTCCCGGCCCTGCAGGAGGAACGAGCACACTTCATCCAAAGCCCCGAACCCTAAAAACTACGGATTCAATCCTCAACAAACAGCTCCTCTGTTTAACCCTCTGAACCCCAAAACCCACCCACCAGATTAGGCTGGTGGGCTTTTATTTTGAAATATGGAAGGAAAGTTGTCATTTTGAGAGTTTATGGTTCAAGTGATAACAAATGCTGCCGATACGTCAAAACTACACCGTTTATCATGGCCAGAAATTGTAAAAAGCATCGTTATTGGCAGGTTTGTATATCTCCGACGGTCCTTGAACACATCATGTGTGACGAACGCTTCCATCAGAAAAAGCATCAAAACTAAAAGTTTAAAACTGTGATATTTCATCCAGAAACATTATATTCTTCATGCTTTTTATTCAATAAAGTGTTTACTTTAACCAGATTGTGTTAAAAAAAAAAAAAAAAA